ACCTGTCTCTGGACCTGTCTCTGTCTCTGTCTCTGAGTCTGGCTCTGGACCTGTCTCTATCTCTATCTCTATCTCTGTCTCTGTCTCTGAGTCTGTCTCTGTCTCCGTCTCTGAACCTGTCTCTGGACCTGTCTCTATCTCTATCTCTGTCTCTGTCTCTGTGTCTGTCTCTGTCTCCGTCTCTGAACCTGTCTCTGGACCTGTCTCTGTCTCTGTCTCTGAGTCTGGCTCTGGACCTGTCTCTATCTCTATCTCTATCTCTGTCTCTGTCTCTGAGTCTGTCTCTGTCTCCGTCTCTGAACCTGTCTCTGGACCTGTCTCTGTCTTGTTGTTTCTGTTCTCCTGTTCTTGGTGTCTAATCTCTGTCTCCATTTCACACGTTCAGAAACAAAAGTAAATTCCTGTCAGAGCAGTATCGTCTATAAAGTCCTCTTTGTCTTCCCACAGACTGTCTCTGAATCTGACCTTCATCTCCTGACAGCTTGGGATTTCTCTGGAGCTCCTAAATATTGGCAAAGACACGAGTCCTTTCTTAAAGGTCCAGTGTGTCAGATTCAGGAAGATTTATTGGTGTCTTTTGGGTTTGGCTTTACATCTTACAGGAAGTGAACTCTGGCGTCCTGGCTGAGATTCAGAGGTTGTTGGACCCATCCCCCCCGTCCACCTGCCCTATTTGAACTTTTGCTCCCTTAACTTACATTGCTGGTGCGTCACGTTTCCCCCTGACACCACCAGGTGCTGTCAAACAATAACGGTGACTGGCCATGTATCATGACGATGTGAAAGGACGTCTTTTTTTGTTGGCGTCTGGCGCTGGAAGTCACCAACCACTCGCCGTTTTTTGACAACTTCAGCATGAGACCAGGTCAGATGAGTGACATCAACATTTGCTGGCAGCGTGCTGGAGAATGAATCGAGGTCTGACCTGGACTGAAAGACTGAAGCTTCGTCAGGACCTACTTCCTGTCTTTGCTTTAATGCTTTTTAATGCTGTTTGTATCGATGCATTTAGGACCGACTCTCCCCCTGATTCAGACCAGAGCAAATCAAGCAGAGGTCTGTAAACACCCCTCGACAGTCGGCCTTTAAATATCTCTCTCTTTCATCTCGTCTTTCTCTTCGTCTGAATCGTCTTTTTTTCTCCTCGCTCTGTTTCTTTCTTCCACTTTCTCCATCTCTTCATCACTGTCTGAGTTAACTGGACTGTAATCCACCTTCCTGCTCGATAGTGAGAAACTATCGACTGTCAGTGTGTGTGTGTGTGTGTGTGTGTGTCTCACCCCGAGGGCTCGGTCTTCTTTGTACTGGAGGAAGGCGTTGGCTGTTCCTTTCTTCGCCATGCGGATCCGAGCCAAACGCACTTTCTGTCGGACAGAAACACACAGGGAAACAGCAGCGTCAGCACCGTCTCTCTCACACACACACACACACACACACACACACACACACACACACACACACACACACACACAGTGTGCAGGAGCATTAAGGTTAAAGTGAAGCCCGTCAGCCTTCATCTGCTGTGTGGTGAAGAAGAGGAGAAACCAGTGAGCTGTAATGGTCTGACTGGGCAGAGTCAGAGTCTCTCAGATGTTTCTGGAGCGTCAGGTCAACCTGCAGCTGAAATAAATCAATAAAAGTATCGCTGACTGAAAATGTCATTTAACAGTCAGAAGGATCGTTCAAACATACAGCAGGTTATTTTTTGTGTTTTCTTTGTTGAGAAACACGTTTGGAAAATTTCCCTCAGATCGTTAGAGCTTATTGAAAATAAAATAAAAAGACATTAAGTATTAATTTTAAAGGTGTGTAGTAACTTAACTGTTTAAGTTAGTTAACCACAGGGTTCTGTTTTTATCTGCTAAGACTAAAAACAGTTGAGTCTGAAACTTCTCTGTCTTTAAGTAAAATATCACATTTATTAATTAACAGTATTCTCAAATGATGTATCCTTCAATGCAGTGCTTCTCAACTGGTGGGTCATGGTCCAAATGTGGGTCCATCCCTATTGGACCGCGAGGGACCCGTGAACAGGGCCTTCAGAAACAGTGATACGATACGTATGAATCGTACAGATGTATTCATGGTTTGCAATGCCACCATTTTCTTCTGGTGAATGGGCCGACATAAAGTATTCATTCTGTTTGCCGTCCTGTGAACGTGCTCACTGATGTTTCCATTTTCACATTAGTTAAATAAGTCATTTGATTTTTAATCAAACTGATAAACTTAACTCAGAGGCTTCCACACTAACAGACGGAAGTTTATGATTGTGCGCTGGAGCTTCAGCCGCTCTTTGACAGCTCCTGAGTCAGTCTGTCGTGACGGACACTTACGGCTCATTTCAGTGTCAAACAGCATAAAGTAAAAATACTGCTGATCTCTGGAGGAAGAGCTGTGGCAGTTTTCTAACAGGCCATCAGTCCAAACTGATGTAAAATAAAGCAGGAGTAACAGAGACACAGAGACCGACCTGCTGCGCTCTCATCTTGTCCGCTCTCTGGTTCTGGTGGTAGATTCGGCTGAAGTTGGACACGATGACGGGCACCGGCAGGGCGATCACCAGCACGCCGCTGAGAGAGCAGATGGAGCCGAAGATCTTCCCTGCTATGGTGTTGGGAACCATGTCACCGTACCTGCAGGGAGGAAACAGTCACATTGTCAGTCAACATGCAGACCAGTGACCTCTCAGACATGTTCTGGGTCTGGGTTTTATCTGACTTCTGGTCACGGTGAGTGATTCATGATATTTGGTGACTGAATCGAGTCAGAATTTCCACTGTGGCATCAAATACAAGAGAAGTAGGACGAGGACCTAACGCCATGTCCAACAAGGACAACACATGTCCCCAGCCTCACCTTGATCCCAGTATCAAACTTCACACCTCCACCAAGGCCACATGTCCGACCTCACAGTGGAAAATGATCTGTGTATCTGCTCCATGATTCAGATCTGATCAGAAATGTAATGGGTACTTTCTACATCTACGTTGATGCCGTGTCAACTTCAACCTGTTACATGCATTGTCTGTTTTCAAAATACACTTCTGTTTTCACAGGAAATGTACAGTTTGATACAGTCTCTTTCAAAATAAAAGCACTACGTCGGTACAACACCACCAACTGATGTTTTTTTCCTTCAACAACACACACATGTGGTTACATTTAGCCGACACACACACATGTGGTTACATTTAGCCAACACACACACACGTGGTTACGTTTAGCCAACACACACACATGGTTACATTTAGCCAACACACACACACGTGGTTACGTTTAGCCAACACACACACATGGTTACATTTAGCCAACACACACACACGTGGTTACGTTTAGCCAACATACACACATGGTTACGTTTAGCCAACACACACACGTGGTTACGTTTCCCATTGTTTTTAAGATATTTCATTCACAAGACTGAGACGGACGGACCTGATGTGTCTCCAACTTGGAGGCATTACAGCAGCTCAATCAATAATACAAATATACACACAGTAAAAACCAAACATTACAGATGGTACAGACTAAAGACTGGTGTCCACACATCAGGAGAAGAGGCTGAATATAAACAGATAATGTTACAACACATTCAGACAAAAAGACATCAAGACATAAATAAAATGTTCTGCTCTGTAACACGAACAGTTTGTGTTTAAAGATTCAGATTCAGATTCTGATCTCTGAGAGGGCTGAACTGCTGCACAAGATATTACTGTCTGCATGCACACACACACACACACACACACACACACACACACACACACACACACACACACAGGTTGCTGGTTGTTGCCTCATGCGGCCTTCACCTTTCATCATATAGAGCCATAAATCATAGGTAGAGAGACGAGGAAGAGGAGGAGGAGGAGGACATTAGGGAGCGGGCAGGAGGCCAGGACGGTTTGTGTGATACTGCTCAGACACACTTTACTGAAGCTTCAGTTATCTTTATGTATCACTGCAGCTGATGACACAACATCTGGAAGCAGCTGCTCATAATTTTTACTCTTGGGACACAGAAGACGCTCACAGATTTGTGATGTGTTGTTCAATATTTAAACCACAGGCTCATCTACAGTTGATATCAAACACAGTCTGATGTGTCAGTTATTATTACTTAACTCTGTCTGCACCTTCAGTGTGTGAATTATCTCTTTAACTTTCCTGGGGATGAAATTATTCCTTTCACTTTCTCCCCTCTCTGGAGCGCCGTCCATCTCACGGTGGAATTAAACTCTTTATATTTAAATATGTAAATGCTGTGGGACTGTACAGTGGATCAGATATAAGGTAATGAAGTGCAGCTCTACCTGCTGCGGTGGATTATGTCTGAGTCCTTCAGAAAATAAGGCCACGACCCCGTCGGCTGCGCTAACGCTCATATCAGAATATCTGGGAGGTAATTTACTTTTTTTCTACTGTGAAGCTAATTTCACAGCAGTGCAGCGTCGTCCTGTGCACACGTGTTTCATAATGAATCTCCTGTCATTAAGAGCCAGCCGTCAGAGCTGCTGACTGTCCAGTTTCTGTCTTCTGAAAATAAATTCATGCTGTTAAATACATTTATAAACATTATGCATTAGATTTAAATATGTTCATTTATTTTACAGGGAGTGTTCTCTGCTGACAGATCTGATCTAAATCCTCCATAAGCTCTCTGAACATTTTATACATTAATACTCTGAATAACATCACAGAAACTGTCGTCCTGCAAACTGAACATCTCACATTATTTTACTCTGTGTGCCGTTGAGCCTCTGAACCCTCACCCGTCCACCCACATGATCTCAACATCAACACAAACAGTGATTTTGACTTATAGTGAAACTCTGGGTCGATACAGACGTTTAAAAAAACTGTTTGGCCGATACCGAAGCTTTTATTTGTTGATGGGTTTTTTTGTTGTTATTTGTTCCCACTTTGTTCCAGGGACACAAAAAATCTACATGATAAAAAAAATAGCACAATTTCAAGGTGACCTCTGAGTGCACCCCATACAGGCCAAGACCTTTTAAGCCTAGGGGCAGTCTAGGTCCTTTGGTGCTACATTTAACAAGATTACATTGAACACATCATCAGAATGTTATAATTTACCGTCGCCTAACGCTCATTTCTACTGAATAAAGCTTGAAGGCATCATAATGTGGCTCAATGCAACCTGTTAGTTGTGGCCACCGGCTGCTTACAGCTAATGTTAACTAGCTGCTAACTGCTAACAGCAAATGTTAACTAGCTGCTGATTGCTCTCAGCTGACATTAACTGCCTGCTAACGGCTAATGTTAACTAGCTGTTGGTTCTGCTAACAGCTAACTTTAACTGGGTGCTAACTGCTAACAGCTAACATTAACTAGCTGCTAACTTTGACTAGCTGCTAACAGCTAACGTTAATTAAATCTCCTCCTGCTGATGTCATCACAGATTTGTTGTTCACAATGTAACATCATCAGGGAAACAACAGGCTGCGTTCTCTGACGTGTTGACAGTGAGTTTACTGCGTCCTTCTGTCCTGACAGCGTCCCAGGGAAGATCTCCGTTTGTCCCAACGTTAGTCTGGAGCTCTACTTCTTGCAAAGTGAGGGGAGGAAACATCGGCCACTGCCATCACCAAACATTCTTTTGTTTGCTTATAGGCCGAGGGAAATATCAGCTGATACCAATGTTCAGCTGATAAATCAGTGTATCTCTAGACAGTAGTGAAGATGTTTATAGCCTAACGTTAGCTTTACACTTCTGGTGATCGCATTCAGCTTCAAAAATCATAAAAGAGGTGTGTGTTTGTGAAGATTATCTTACTGAACAAAACGTGTTTTATAAACATTTGTTTGTCACAGAGTTTATTTTCTACAATAATCCAAAATCAAATGGGTTTTTGATGGGGGATTCAGGGCGATGCTGAGTTCAGGGTCGACCTACAGAAAAGCGTCACCCCTGGAGAACAAACCAACGGCTGCCTTGAAGGAAAAATGTAAAAACTGCTTGAAAGACTTTTTACAAAACTTGTTAAGAATAAAGGTACATCTTCACTCTGCAACCGAAGCAACTTCACATTAAGCTTGTGAGATAAAAAATATTCAATTACAAGTAAAACCGTTTAAAAAAGAGAAAAACACAACTGTCACAGTAACGAGAATGAATGTTATTTATTTCCTTCCTCCCTCAGTACAAGTCATGAGCAGTTAAGCTAACAGGATAATACATGCACAACCGCTGGTGTGATTCTCTGAAACCTAATCGTCCCCTTCGTTTTAATTTACTGTGATATTGAGCCTGAGTGTGTGTGACAGTAATTTGCTGAATGAGTGTGTTGGGTCTGTGGGAGCTGTGTGTGTGATGACAGCACTCAGGTCAGTTTTACTGGACCTCCGGCGTCCTCAGCCGGGAGCGATATTGGCAGCAGTGAGCAGATCAATGGAGATAACAGAGCGGGCCGAGTGGAACAGAAGTCATCTGTAATTGTTGGCAAAAAGCGCTCAGAAGAATCGACGGAGATGTCAGACTGCGGCCAAACAGCCGGGATGAATCTGTGCTGGATCACTAACTAAATCCACCCTGAACATCAGCTGGACCTAAATCTTGACCTCGACACTTTACCCAACATTTTACTTCTTTTATTTCTCTCCAAGCTCTCCACAGTTAGTCAGGCTTCTTTTGTCAGGCTACAGAGATGATAAAATTAGCTAAATTTATGACATCAGTTGCGTTTCATGGGCATAAATAATAAAAAAACAAAACTTATATTTTAAATCACTAATATGTAATAATAATGATAATAATGACAATAATAATACTACATTTAATTTATATGGCGCTTTTCTGGATATTCAAAGGTGCCTTACAAAGAGCAACAACAAAACAAAACTAAACTAAACTAAATAAACAAAAAAAACATTAATAAAGTTATGTCGGCCTGCACATCAAAAATATGTTAAATATCCAGTTTACAGAAAAAGACAAAAGAGGTCTGACATATTAAGATCATTTTAAAATTAAGTCACACACAAAAAACAGTTTATTTGCTGACGTAACAATTTGGTTCAAGTCAGTCCAATTTAGCAGCTAAAACCTGTTAGCTAATGCTAAACAGTTCTATTCAGGTTAGCTTATTGGTCATTTTAAAGGCTACAGTTCGGTTCGGGTTAGCTAATTGTCTGATGAGCAGTTAAAACAGCTTGACTCAGTTCAACGCATGACTTTAAGCTGCTAAAGTGGCATTTTTGTTTCATTCAAGTTAGCTAACAGGTCAGTTCAGCCAAAGTAGTTTGGTTCAGATTAGCTAACAGGTCATTTTAGCAGCTAAAACAGTTTAGTTTATATAAGCTTGTTGTAGCTGGTTTAGCTAACTGTTTTTGAGGCTTGTTTGTTTGAGAAAATCTTATCTATAAGCAGCAACAGTCAACTCAGAAGTTCCATATCCGAAACTCTCCATATGCAGATGACTGACTCAAATTATTAGGTGAGGTAATAACCCAAAAAACAAATGAAGGACAAACTCATAAACATCCTAACTCCATCTCCTGGTGCTGTGGGAACAGAGCGGCAGCCACAGAGCTGCTGTCGGCCCTGTGAGTACAGCTCAGAATGTAAATGTAGATATAAATGTAAATGAATGAAGCTGTGATGTGCAGACAG